GTTAGTAAAACTGACTTGGATAAACAAACCGGAAATCATAGAAAAGGATGTAATTAAAAATATGATGAAGAAAAATATTTCAATGTTAAAAATGATATTGCATTAGCAAAAATAACGATCACGGATTAAAAAATATGGTAATAATTACTTAAATAATAAAGTTAATGAAACCATTCTATGGTGGCTTTACAGTGCTAGAAGTAAGTTGTTTAAGTATGGCTTCAGCTACAACAATCTTGATAATAAATATGGTAATAAAATAAAATTTGTAATGACTAACAAAGATTTTCTATGCATAAGTGCTGAAACGAACAATTGATACTATTATATTAAACAAAATATGCAGTTTAAATACAAAAGCGATCACAAAAGAGATAATATCTGGCCGAATCCAGTACATTTTCACGCTTATTTGAAGACTATATGGTGTTGATAAAAGTATGAAACTGTATCAAGACTACTTTTGTTGTCAAGAATATTAAAGTATATATTATAAAGATTCAAACAATAAACCATCAAGCTATCAAGGATTTAATGTAAGTATATCCTTCCATTTTCGAAAATAGGCAATATCACGAAAACAGGCTACCTTTGACAATATAATGATACATGCTAATTAGTTTATGAATGCTTTAATTTATTCATTAATATTCTAAATTTGGCAACTATTCTATTTTAGTCCACAGCAGCGTCAATTTGTTGCCTTGGCTACGCTAATTAATTAATCTCCACGTTGTAATAAAAAGCGGATACTCCAGTCTGATCAAAGTTTATTTTTTCTGTTTTCTTTCAACTTTTCATTTATTTCATCTATAATACAGTTGGTGTCTTATTATTTTCATTTAAATTGTTTTCCATATATTCTGTATCTTTGGGTAAAAGACTCCAATAAATATAAAATTTTCGCGAAGACTTTTTGCAGCAGTATGATATTTTGTACTATTACAATTAATTTCCTAATGCCTTCCACTGAACGCTACATTAGACTGGTTGATTTATTCTTAATATCATTTAGATTTCACATTCATCTATTGAATAAAGAATTAGTTACTTAGTATGCACTAATATACTTTTAATGTACTTTTAGCTTCTTTATCTGATAATCGACAGGATTATTAGCATTACACTATAGTCTCTAAAAGGCCATTTTCTGTTGTACGTCTTATTCTGTATAATTACGTGAAAGATAATTACAATAAAATAAGAAAAAAGTCTCATTTCGATTTAAAATTAGTGCTATCTTTCCGCTATTATTTTATGGCACATATAATCACATTATGAAGTTCTTTAAGGAACACTTACCAGTTAAGACTCTTCAAGACAATTACAAAAATCGTTGCACTGAAACAAATACATTATGTTCTCATCCAAGCGATCTTTCCCATGCATCTGAAGGCATATTTCCTTCTGCACATTTACCAGTCCATGGTTTGTTTCAAATTTTGTTTCATACTATGTGTCTCAAGTCCTACTAGAGACAGTGCTGATTTTCATAATTGTTTGCACCAATATTACTCGTTTTCCATATGGTTCTTTTCTCCGTTATATAAATATCACATTGCTTCACTAAATAACATATTATGATAATCCTTCTAGAGCATTCCTCTCTCTCTCTCTCTCTCTCTCTCTCTCTCTCTCTCTCTCTCTCTCTCTCTCTCTCTCTCTCTCTCTCTCTCTCTCTCGTAATATAACCATAAAATAAATAAATTCCGTTCCCATATTTATCGTTGACAAAATTAACCAATAGCTTAGATGTAATGGACTGATCACTGGAGACAATTATTCTACATTTTATAACCTTGGTTAATGCCTTCTATCACCTCATATGATTTCTCCAACATATCCCGGGTAAGAACTAAACGATACAATAAGCAATGATATGCCAGTAGCTAATAACTCACTACAAGTTTGCGTTTCTTTCGATATAAATAAAACGAATATTTTTTTATACCCGCGTTTTGTATGTAATCGGCTCCTGACATTAACTATCTCGGTTTTTCATTCATTATACCTTGATGTTCTATGTGTTGTCACTAACAATGGTAGACACAAGCCTTTAAAAGTGTTGATAATGTTACAGTGGTTTTACTTAAAATATCTTCTATACTGTTAGAAATGCCTAAGTATTTCATTTGCATCCTGCCAATATTGTTTACAGCGGAATGATTTGCTTCTCCTTTAACTTACCGTTGGAATGATAGGAAATACACCTATCAGATACAATCAATAAATCATGGTCCTCAACTTCGGTACTTATGGTTCTAAAACCTGTTTTGGTTTGATAGTAACTGGAGTGTGTATAATACAATGATGTGCTAGAAAAATAAATGCGAAACATTCTGTGGGGTGGGGTTATTGTGTGTGTGTGTGTGTGTGTGTGAAGAATTAAAAACTTTCCGTATGTTGTCTTTGTCTATTTGTTTTAGTTGAATTTAGTTTATACTTGTTTATATCTAACAAAAACACTAGCTCCCTTTACAAGTGATCTACATATATAATCAGATATTATTTGGATTTCAAAATGTTTGTAAAAGTTATTATGCCTACGTGTTTTTAGGTGTATCTATAAAGTAGATCTAGCATTAGGGTGACTAGAAGAATACAGAGCAAAAACTTCACTGAAGTTAGTTCAATACCACGTAACCAAAAGCTTGCTCTCTAAAGTTTAAGTTTACGTCATCTAACCACTTTGTTCTATTTTCATTTAACTCACTATTTTTTTTCTCTGTTTCTGCATTTCCACAATCGCTTTGTTGTGTCGTGTCCTTGCATCATTTGTTGTTATTGTTGTTCTGGAGCTTAACGCCATTTTTCAGCACACGATAGGCTATATATGGCGGCCAGTATTAATGGTGGAGGAAGAAACCGGGAAATCCGCGGAAAGAACCACCGACCCAGGGGAAGCTACTGGCAAGCTTTCTCGTATAATCTACATTCGCCGAATCTTAGACTCGAACCCACGCAGACAGAGGTGAGATGGCAGTGATCCGTAACGGATAGCGCTTTATACCACAAGGCCACTCGGAGCCCCTGCATCATCTGTACCAACTGGATCAAATAATTGCACCAAACAATTACTTCCCGTGAATTCTAGAATGTAGTGACTGTTCCTCTGATTATTGCAGCCATTTAAATGTAGTAAATTTTATGCTGTCCCCAGCCGTAAAATAAAAGCATAAAGAATAAATAATTTGTTTAAAGTTTAAATTGACAAACATAAATATTGTTTTCTTCAGAACAATACATTTCTGGTTCTTTCAATCTAAGATATTGTTCATCTAAACTTTAATGTGGAATAATTTCTTTAGTTAAACATGCTGCGAAAGGAGGAGTTCTAAAATTTATAAATAATACAGTATACAATTCAAAGATTGTCTCTAATAGCAAAATATATACCAATTTAATATAATCATAGTTTATTTTAATATTCCTTAGCAACTGTATTATCTCTATTTTCTATTCATTAAAATGAAATACATAACTAGTAACTATTTATTAACAAATATAATTCTAAGTGCATTATTATCCAATATTGTTACGTATATCTGTTTTATGTAGCACAGGACACATGATTTTATATTATGTTTATTATTTTTGTCCATGGCTGTAATGTGTAGAGCATATTTAGCTAGTTTTGCCTATGTGACCAGAGTATCTTAAGAGCGTAGTAGTTACATAGGAGTTAGAAACAAATGCTTGCGTATGTGTTGACAATTATTAATAATAATCCTAATAATAAGACTTAAATGACACCTTTGGCTTAATTTCTCAGTGGCTAACGGGGTTTCGAAGTTTCTAAAATAATTCTGTAATTTCCCATTGTTTGGATAAGGTTACATGAATAGGCTAAGTCGATACAAAAAACGAGTAATGTATTCTGTCATGTGGGGTCTATTGCTAAATATGGTCTCAATAAACAATATATATATATATATATATATATATATATATATATATATATATATATATATATATATATATATATATATATATATATATATATATATATATATATATATATGGAGAGAATTAAGGAATCAGTTTCATTCCGTTTTGTTTTTTGGTCATTTTCAAGTTGCAAATATCTTCAATAGTTACTTGCCTAGTGTAAGCATGTCCTGGTTTTCATCAACCTATTCGCTTTTGATCATGTTAACTTAATGCGCTTACAAGTATTAAGCTAGAATGTAATGCCAAAATTTGTAATCCAAACGTATAGGATAAATACCCAATAAAGTATCTGATTCTGTTTGTTGTCATGTAGTCTTTTGTTTCTTTTTCTGCAATTCATTCAAATTATCAGCTGGAAGAAAATTTTTTACCATAGATTCTTCCAGTTTTATAATATCTGACAATGACTTTGAGGTTTTATCTAATCTGGTATTGACAAAATTTTCGCATGTTTTCTATTTTACCAAACTCCTTATTGGTTAAACATTTACCATTTCTTCTTATGTTCCATTTACGATACTAATTTTTAATCCTTGTTTTTATTTGTCTTCAAATCTACCACTTGCTATGGTTTAACTATCTTGTCTAGGTTCTACAAAGCCCAATTCCTTTCAAGTTGATCCAATTAAATACCATACATGACAGGTGGTGTTCATGAAAAAATCTTTAGAAATTAAAACCAATAATTAGATAATTATTCTACAGAAGGTTTTAAAGCTTCGACTATTGTAGTTAATGATGATAACATATTAACTAATGAATATGAAGAACATAACAATACATTAATTAAAAATTGATGAAGTTCAAATAACCAAATTAAATCTCATACATTTTTAACATTAAAAACATTTCAGTCATATTGCTTTGATGTCTGCAGTGTGGCGGTTTATAGTGATGTCTACCACTGGGGAATCATGAAACAGACATGTAGCATGACTACCCTAACAGTCACATTATCCTGCCACTAGCCTAACCAGTCCTAACACTAACCTCTTAAAGCCAAGTGCACTGTGAGGCAGCTGTTAGTACCATTTTATAAATCTTTGTTGTGACTCAGTCAGGGCTCGAACCTGCAACCTCCTGCACCGAAGGTAGATGCTCTAACCACTTGGCCACCGGAGTGATCATGTTATTTTAATATAAAAAAGTAATGCAACTTCCAAAAAAGCTATTTATATTTATACATATTATTTTCAAGAATATATTTTTTTCTTCTTTAGAATGAGCTTGATTTCTTTTAAAGATATTTTGAAATTTTTGTTATTCATCAATACTATTGGTGCATCAGTACAAAAGGTTGAACTTCATTTGGAATACCCTCAGAACTCATTTGGATTACTTGATACTTTTGAACTTAATAGACCATTTAGCATTTCATTCACCATGCTGGAAGCTACTTATAATTGCTTACATTGTTTTTTAGGGGAATAAATTATATTTTGAATTATCCAATACTTGTGGAGTTCTTGCTTTCTTGTTACTTAGTTTAAGAGGACAGAGTCATATTAATAATAATGATAAAAGTTACATTGAGGAAAAAGGTTAAAATTTATTTTTAAAACTGCAACAATTTTCTCTAATTTTGTATAGCTATTACCATGAAAGCATCAACTCTTTGTACAACAACAGTACAATACGTGAAAGAATGAATTAAAGGTAGTGGTAGCATGAGTGATTCCTCAGATAAATAAAAAATCGGTATGAAAAATACTGCCATTTTTTCTGTTTAGAAACATTATTTTTTATTAGCTAATAATGCAATTTTGTCAATTCTTTCATCAATTGTATTGTTCACTTTAGTTGTATTCAGGGGTCAAAAGGTCTATTTTTAGGGTCTGTTTTTAGTACAATGAAAAAAGGGAAGAAACAAAAAATAATTACACCTGTTCCTGCAACCAGAAATAAGTATTAGGGTCTGATTCATGAAATTTGTTACTTAGACATTTGCGTCCTTTTTACCTCATCATCTTTTTCTTCACCTTTGTCCTTGCAACATGAAAAGTACATCATAACAATTGAACAGATTTTGGTGTGTGCCATTGTTTAGCTTTTATCAGCTTATTTAGCAATATTTTCTGTCAGCTATATTGTCTATAGTTTGAATTTGATGACTTCTGTAAACATTACTGTAAACAAGCATGATATATCTTTTTTATCACCATATTATTAGGTATAAGAAAGATACCATCACCACCAACTCCATAGCTTAGTCAAACTTTTTTCATCCTAGTCAGTCTTATTCACCTAAAATTAATTTTTTAAACACATTTTGATGGCGTCTTGATCAAAAGAACCATAGTGCAGGACATTTGTTCTGATCTGTACCTAAGCACCTAAGATAGATTTGGATCATATTCAAAATTAAGTACTGAAACCCTAAATACACTCTGGTTATAATCTGACAATGTCAAAAACATGAAGTTTTTGGTCAGCAAGTCACAACCAGCAACATATTGACATTGACAAGCAGATATCCTAGTATTCTATGATTTTCTTGTTCTACTAACTGAAATTCCTTTCTTGCTAAACATGTAATTCACATAGGATCAAGAAACAACCTGGTGGTGGTGGTGAGGGGTTTCATAGGTAAGAGCTTCAATTTATAGTCAAAGTCCAAAGCAGTGATAAATTTTTTGATAAAGATAATATCTCCTTTCATCAAACACAAATTATATCCATGTTCAAAATGATATAATACTGTAGTTTAATTCATTTGCAAAATAAAAGGTTTTAAAAACAATAAAATTCAAGGCTTAGAATATCATTTTTATTGACAAACCAATGCTCAATATGCACAGAAAACTCCGGGTAAAATGATCAAATGTCTCAAAACAGCTCATATTTCACAAACAGAACTTATCTTTGAACTTAACCATAAATCTCAAATACAATGATCCGATTGGTCGAAATTTAAGTCAGACTTAAATCTAACCAATTAAATTTCTTCAGCTGGATTTTGCTATTGTACTAGTGAAACTGGGACCTGATCATCATTAGGAAATCATTCCACTGAACACATCAACTTAAATTATCATAATCAAATACAACTTATATGCAACACTATTAGTATTCATCTTCTCTTAGCAATCTTCTAACTTTATATCTGCTATTTTTAAAATGTCATATCAAGCACAGGCAAATTGCAGGTAAATTTAGAGCACATGAAAGTACCTCTGTTAAAAGGCTTAATCAAACCGTCTTGACTTTATAAAGAGATTATTTAAACTGGTTCAATTTCAATTTAGGCTTAGAAACTGTACTAGCTAATGGAAAATGGAAGATTGTACATAATTCCTAAACCAAATTCGAGTCATGGAAAAATCTAAAAACACTGATTTTTATAGCACTTAATATAACTACAAAGAAGAACACTGGAAATCATTTATCAAGGACAGGAAACTTGCAAAAAATGTTTTATCATACCATAGATCATGAATAAGCTTACATAATAACAAGATCCCAAGTGGGCTTGATTTCTCTCAACAGGCTTCCAGAACTTTACATATCACCTCATTAATATGTATGGATTTCACTAACTATGGAACCTGTATAAGACCATGATGTTACCAGATTACTGAACAAGTCTTTAGTAAAATCAGATCAGTCTTCAGATTTGTAACCAATCAGATTCAAGATTACCTAGTATGTATGCATAGATCTTGCTTGTGTTTAATCCAACATATTGACGATACAAGACAATTTAACAAGTCTCAAAGACAGAGTTGCTAGAGTGTAAATAAGTTCAGCAAATCAAATGCAAGATTATCGAAAATGTGTGAATCATGCTCATTATACTATCCATGCAAGATCTTGATGACATCAACATGTTTACCAATTTAATTAAAACCTAACAAACATATGATCTATAAAATGGTCACAAACTTAGCCACTCAAATATTAACCAAGTTTGATCAAAACTAGGTCAGAGATACTATTACTTGCTTGGGAAGGAGCTCAGCCAATCAGATGCAGGATGAACCCATTAATTTGTGTTGTGATGTGATTATGATTTTTAACAAAGTTTTTAACAATTTTTCAGTCTTGATGCTACAATGTCTGCAGTGTGACAGTTTATAGTGATGTCTAGCACAGAGGCATCATGCTGCAGACATGTAGCATGATGTCCCACCCAGTCACATTATCCTGACAAAAGGCCGACCAGTCCTAACACTAACCTCTTAATGCTGAGTGTCAAGCGAGGCAGCTGTTAGTACCATTTTTGTAAGTCTTTGGTATGACTTGACCAGGGATCGAACCCACGATCTCCCACATCCGAGGCGGTCACTCTAACCACGGAGCCACTGGAGCGGTTCTCATTAATATGCACAATTCTTTCTCATATTTAAAGTGGATGGGATAGCCTTATATTATAAGCAAATTTAGTGGGGGTTTTGTCCCTTAATTGCCATGGAGAAGTCATAAAAGTTCACAATAATGAAACCTGACTATAAACTGCAAGACAAAGCTGTAAAGTTACTGGGCAGGCATATAAAGCAGAAAGAAAAGAAACCTTGAAATACAGATCTGTGACCTTTACCCAAAGGAAAGACCACAAAACTGCAGTGCAAAACATCTTCCTGTGACAATATACAAGTACAGCAAGCTTCACTTATTTATCTTAAACTGCTGTTAAGTTTGAAAAAGCTGTGACTGAACCTGAAATTTTGACCTGTGATCTTGAAAATGGAAACCTCAAAGTGATATGTAACACTTATTTAGTGATGATATACAGTCATACCAAGCAGCATCCCTTTACTACACACGACTCTAAAATTATAGACAAGAAACAAAGTATAATGGGAAAAAAATTCAACATATAACACCATAACCTGACCTTGATGAGAAGACTGCTGCTGCTGTACCCCCCCCCCCGGGTACACAATACACCTCCTAATGATGCAGAAACAAAAGTATTCTGGGAAAAATTCAACATATAACACCATAACCTGACTTTGATGAGAATACTGTTGCTGCCCTGCCCATCAGGTGGTACACAATAGACCTCCTAATGATGTAGAAACAAAAGTATAATGGGAAAAATTCAACAAATCTGACCTTGTTGAGAAGGCTGACCCCCCCACATGTGGTATACAATGCATCTTCTTATGATATCATATAATTAAATCAAGTTGCATCCCATAATCTCCAGCAGCTCCAAAGTTATACTGGAAAAGAAAGTGGGACTGAAAACAATAAATATTAAACTTCGAACTTTACCCTGACCTTGAATATACAACCCAAATATGGTATGCAACAATCCTTTAAATCACTATGTATAATTGTGTTTTATCCCATATTCTCAAATGGCTGTAGAGTTATGGAACAGAAAGGAAACTCATGGAAATGTGAAAGATTCACCTTGTACTTAAAGATGTCACACCCACTGAAACACCAGACACATCTTCTATTTGATGGTGTAAAATTGTACCAAGTTTAATACATTAATTCCAAATTACTTTAAAATTATAGTCTGGAATGGAATGTGCTATGAAAATATAATATTGAACAATGACCTTAACCTTGAACATAACACTCACAACCCCCAATGTGTTATGCGACACCAATTAGTCAAAATTTACCAGTATATGAAGTTTCATTTCTTAAACACAAATGGCTTTAAAGTTACACTGTAGATAGGAAAGAGTAATGAAAATAAAAACTGCTGAATTTAGTACAACCAGTGTGATATATGAAACACTCTTTAGTAATGATGTACAAGTTTGCAGTTTTATTTCATATTCTGAAACAGCTTCAAGTTATAGTGTGAGAGAAAGAATGACAGAAAAAATAAAATTCAAGTCATGACCTTTAACCTAATAGACAGAACTCACAGCATGGCAAATGACTCACCTAACAAGTTTTATCTCTTAATCTCAAAGAGCATTAAAGTCATAGAGCAGAGTGACAAATAGACAGGTATTATGTCTCCCACTTTCCTCAAGGCATGAACAATAAGCTAATTTATTGCTAGCTCAAAATCAGATTAGAATTTAGTTTCACAAGTTGCATAAAGCTTAACCAATCAAATGCAAGATCACCTCATTACATGCATGGTTTTGGCTCATTGTGAACCTTGGCAAAGATCTTAGGACCAGAAACATACTTCCAGAGTGACAACAAGCT